GATACGGACCAACTGCCGGCGCTCTCACCAAATATGGTGATCTGATCCTTATCTCCGCCAAACAAATGGATGTTTTCCCGCACCTGTAGTTCCCAAATGTGTTTACAATTGTTTTGAGATTAGATTAAAGTTTAGATTAAATGTGTTTTTGAGTTCAAATTAAGACTTTTAAAACAGTAAATAACAAAAACTTTAATATTTAATTGTAACCATTGCATTTAATTATTGTGAGTTAATGCTAAAATATAAACTCATGTTAATGCTCTATGTATAAGTTTTATTACTTTAAAAATTATTAAATTATATTTTGGTAATTTATTTATAATAATTTAATAACTAATTATTTTATGCTATCATATTTTTATACTATGTAAACCTTTTATTTAAAATATTATAAATTATTTATTGGAAAGTATTGCACTTGGTATAATTATAAATGAAAAAATACTACTTACCCATTTAAGACCTTGCACCTGATCATAAAAGCCCATATTGCCGGGTGCATCACTACCGGGCCCGCCATACAGAAAGCCTAACGGTCCCAACCGGTAGTTTACAGCAACAAACACTACCCCATCGGTGGGAAAGGCCTTTCCGTCGTACAAACCATTGTATATGGAGCCCCCTCTTAGACCCCCACCGTATATCCAAAACATAACCGGCACTAGACCAGTGGAGTTATGGGGCGCCCATATGTTTAGATTGAGACAGTCCTCACCAGCGGGCCCGTCCCCACCAAAACACGATAGCTGGCCATGTCTATGGGTGGCGTCAAATACATCCTAAATATATCCCAGGAATTCATAAAAATGAATTAAAGTACAGAATATTCTATGTATGAAATAATGTGTTTAATTACCGGAAGCGGTTTGGCTAACGGCTTAGTCCGGGCGAACCGGAGCGCACCGACTGGTGGCTCGGCGTACGGAATGCCGATAAATGTGTCGACCTTTTTGCCCAACACGTCGAGGGTCTGCCCCCTCATTGTACCCGATGTGGTCTTTACATCGACAGTGGCACCGGCACTTAGACCCAAACATATACCTAATGATATACACAACAATAATGCCATAATTACTATGGTTTAAGAAATATTTTGTGAGTACTACTCATGAAAGCAAAACATGTGCCCCTTTTTATACTAATTTTGGATACAGTAATATAAATTTATCACAATTGTACAATAATAGTATCACATAATAATCGATAAAATTACAGGTAGTAATTTTGATGTAGTTTATTTAGTGCACACGAACAGAGTAGACCTAATTTGTGATAAAATACAGGTATTAAATGCTATTTGTATGGGAAGTGAGCGGATGTTTGAGTGCAGGTAGGCCTTCAAAATACCTTTCTCATTGATTAGCTTGTTTATACATTATATTTAATTATGTACAATTGTATTAAAATATTCATTTTATTGCAAAGTATAGTTCAAATTTGTAGATGACTTATATTATATTTTCAGGATAACTTAGTTATCAAATTAATTTAATCATAAACTCATTTAAACCCGCTTTTCGATGCTCACAACCACTCGCTTAGGTTTGTTGAAATGACTCTTAACTCTAAGCACCGGTACGTCTGTATTAGGGGTGCGAATTAACCGGTACTCCCGGACCACGTGCGCCACCGCGAGCTTTATCACCAATAATGTAAACCGTGTGCCCACACAAAATCGGGGGCCGGCACCAAAGGGCAGGTATGCGTACGGGTTAATACTAGTTTTATTATCAGGCATAAACCTATCAGGGTTGAATATATTAGCATTTGTATAGTACTCATTAGAGTGGTGGATAGCATAGATAGGGAACTCTATTCTCTGGCCCTTTGGGATGGTAATCCCGGTGTCGGTTAACGTGTAATCCCTGGCCGCGTATCTGGAGATCCGTATAGTGTGTCCGTTAAATCTAAGTGTTTCGGTGACCACTGCGTCCAAAAAGGGTAGTCGTGTCAACACGTCGTACGCTATCTCACCGTTAGTGTCGACGGCATCCGATATTTCAGAGTATAGGTGCTCTTGGATTACAGGATTTACGGCCAACTCGTGTGCTATGAATGATAGGGTTGTGGTCGTAGTGTCATAACCGGCCAAAAAGAAAACCAAAGCGTTGGCCACAATCTCCTCTTCGGTTATGTATCGGTTGGACAACGGCTTATGAGGGAACGACACTTCGGCGCCTGTATGTTGTAAATAGAAAGTATAGAATTTGTTAATAAATTGTGTTTCTTATTAAGACATGTGATCCATACCTATAGGCTAAAGCTATCTAATATCAAAACATTTTAATTAATTTTTTAATTAACCAGCTAATTTATATTCAAATTATTTATCTTAATAATTTCTAGCTAATAATTAAAAGTGTTATAAAATAAATCATTTATAAATACCTTGATTGGCGTAATGAGATTCATGTCCGTCCAATGCGTCTCTCACTTGATCCAAATTTGCATCCCTTTCCGCATTCAGTAATAAACCAATAAAATCATTGTACTTGTAATCGGGACTTCCCTTCCGGTCGGCAATAATCTGTCGGATCAGTTCAAAGAGAGACTCCAATGCAGAGTTGTCGGTGTTATGAGTTATACCTAATAGGTTTAAGACAAACTTTGGGACTAATAGTATAGCCATTGTGGCCAAAACAAGGGACAACTTTGTGGCCAAAACCTTATTGACATTCCGGATCAATGGGTGATCGGATCGGGTCTGTGAGTGACATTTGGCAGCAAAAGCGCACGTGGATATCACATCCATGGTGACATCCAAATAACTGTTATCATAAAATAGTTTTTCATCTTATAAGTAATTTAATGATCAGATAAACCCAATAATAAAGATCAAATTTGTAGTAAAACGAATATTTGTGTAATTTATTAGATCTAGTAAAAAAATAAATTTTTAATTAACTTATACTTACATATAAAATAATGGTACGCCAATGAGAATAAGATAGACTAACCAACAATTAGAAAAATTTGTTGAATTGATAAAATCCATTATTATAGTTTTAACAATGGTAATTTTATAATATCTTTAGAAATATTTAAATTCAGAAACCTGAGAACAATTCAAATATAAGATTTGATACAATAATATTGTTTCTAATGTCAAATGTTAATTACATTTATATACAATAGTAGCCAATATGGTTACTTACAATATGGTTACAATATGGTTAGCAACACAATTTGATATATAAGTATAATAAGTGGTTGCAAATTATTATTTAATTCATGGTTGGCAACAGTAATACAGTACAGTATCAGTCGATGATTTTGTTAAACTTTTATCCTGAAAAAATACTTAAAATTACAAAATGTTTAAAAGTATTATTAGAGTATTCCATGACTAATTAAAATGTATATATAACTACATTATAACTATAACATATAATTATAACTAAATACTGTATGTAATAATAAAATGTAGCTGTAACAGAATAATGAAATAAAATTTAAAATTTTTTAACAAACAATTAGTATGTAAAATGGGTTTAGCAACAAATGATAAACTGCTAATTTAAACTCAACAGAAATATTATCTCATTCATCTAACAGTTTTAATCATTTAACATTTATCTAGTATGTTTTAAACATTCTGACAAACAGTTTACTGCGGTAAGTGGTTTATGAAAATGGATTTTGTATTTTAAATAAATTAATAGTATTTTTAAATCTAACTAATTTATTTCATTATTATTGCAGTTATTGGAGTACATATCCGGAGTATTAAATGATTACATGTATTATCAGTTATTTCAGTTATTATAATTGAGAATCCATTCATTCAAATTGCAAATGAATTTCTATAAACATTTAATAATATGTTGTCTTTAAATCTATTAATGTAAGCAAACATTCAAGAAATTATTATAAACCAAAACCATAACCCACTTTTTTACTACATAAATGTGGGTACTAATTGTTTTAAACATTATTCTTGATCAAAATATCTAAGGTCATAAATAAAATATAGTAGTTATTCGATAACTAGCGGGATAGAAATCATACAATTAATGTTTTATAAAATATAATATTTTGTTAATGAGAATAGCTTCTATAAACTTATTTAAGATTTTATTAAATGTTAAACCAAAATTACATACTGTAGTATCATAACTTAGTATATACGGTATAGAAACTGTTTATATATTAATATTCGATTAAACAATATTCTAGATTAAATATATCTAGGCCAATAAATAATAAGACATGGCCATAATGTGATTCATATCAGGGTTAGACATATTGGGCGCCGCCATCGACCACGAAGTTGGATCCGGTCACAAACGACGCGTCATCTGACGTCAAATACAACACGGCTTTATCATAATTTTAGTTTTACTGCATGCATGTCTGTTTTGCGCAATACCATAGTAATAGTACTGTACAACTGTTGCATCAATGCTTTGTAATCATAGCGCTCTAAGAAAATAACGATTTTTTTGCATAAAAATCAGACATGCATGCAATCAAACTAAAATTATAACCAGGGTATGGATTTTATGAACATTTTATGAATTTCTCATAAAATTCTAATAAATTTCCAACATCTTGGTAGTTTTTGTTAGCAAAATATAACTGTAAATATTTTAAAATTAATTTAAAAGTCGTGCTAATACGATGGGAGACCCGATATATCTTAAAACTTATAAATATTGAATACTTTGCTCCATTTCTTTTTATAGACAACTTTTTACAACTCACGCATTAAATGTGTTTCTAAAAAGTCATTCAACTATGTAAACAACCTATTTAAACAAATTCAGTAGAAGATTATCAAATGTAATTGTATTAGTGTCACGTAATGCTAAGAAATTAATTTCCAATACAAATTCTTATCTGCATTTGGAAATATAATATATTTTCAGTTATTTTAAGTTATATTATAAGCTATTTAAAACAATTTTTGTTCATAAATTAGATTAAAATGAGTGAAAAAGTAATTTGGGAGTGTTAATTTGCATTTTTATGCCCTACCCATGAATTTATGAATTGTTAAAATACATAAAATAATTAAAATGTTTTCTTTATCATAATCCAGTATAATAAAATATTGTATATAGTTGATTTTTATATTTATTCTACTTTATATTTTCTCTCAAAAGTATGTGAATACCTGGGCATTCTTGCGCAGGGTAACTTCAAATTTGAATAGGCTTTGACTGAATTAAACTAAAAACATATCTCATAAAAACAAGAATCACTTTCAAACTACATTGAGGTATATTACAAAATATAACCTCGACCAAAAAACTGATAATAAAAAAGCTTTTGAAAATCATTGCTTATTATTCTGAAATAAAACATTGAAAAACAATACAGAATTTTCTAGAAAATAATGTTTGTGCTAGAGTAAATAATAAATCATGTCATTGTTTTACATGAAAACTCCACATTTTTCTTTAGCCTAAAATGATGACGACTTCCAGAGATTTCACGGGCAAAGTAGTGCTGATCACCGGCTCGAGCGGTGGCATCGGTGCTGTCACTGCCGTAGAGTTCGCTCGACTCGGGGCTCAAGTGGTGGTCACCGGTCGCAGGAAGGATAGGGTGTCCGCTGTGGCCAAACAGTGCGCTGAGGCGTCGCCTACCGGAGCCAAAGCCTTGGAAGTGGTGGCCGATGTCACCAACAATGACGACTGTCGCCGATTAGTTGCCGACACTATCAAGACATTCAAAAAGTTGGACATTTTGATCAATAACGCGGGTCGGGGTGTAGTGTCGAGCATATGGGACGAGGATATCCTCGATAAGTATGAGCTCATTATGAACACAAACCTCCGGTCAGTCGTATGGTTGACTCACTTATGTGTCGAGCATTTGGAGAAAACTAAGGGTAATATCGTTAACGTGTCGAGCATTGCGGCCTTTAAACCGGTATTTATATCGATATATAAAACATTTATTTTATTTATTATTTTTTATATAAACAATCATTCAATAAGTATGTGCTCACAAAAAATGCATTAAAAAATAGTATAAAATTAAGTTTTTATAACATTATGTGAGTGTGTTTTAGCTATCATACTCATCTGTCATACATCTTTTGCCTACATATTTATTGAATGACCCTGTTTAAGTATATATTTTAAAAATATAATTCTAATACTGTGTGAATAGAAATTTCTATTGTATTCAATGGCAAAGGCGGCGCTGGATATGTTCACAAAGTGTGTAGCGCTCGAGTTGGGCCCCAAAGGCATCCGGGCTAATGTTGTCAAGTATGTGCTTGCTTATATTTAATTGATTAAAATTAAATTAATGTGCTTGTTAATTTTATATTTGATATTTTTTCAATGTGCATGGTAATTAAATATTTTTTCCAATGAAAGTCCCGGTGCCGTGAAGACCGAGTTTTTCGAAGTCTGTCTTAACATGAATAAAGCAAAATCGGATGAATTTTTGGAGGGTAAGGCCAAGGAGTACCCGTTGGGACGGGTGGGTGAGCCCATGGATGTGACAAAAGCCGTGTTGTATTTGACGTCAG